ATGGGTATAGATATAGATATATAAATATATATATATATATATAAAATATATATAGTAGTAGTAGTAGTAATAGTAAAAATAATTCGTTTTTTGTCATGTACAATAGTTCAACGTGGGTGTATGTGTGTAAAGTATGTACTCATTTGCTAAATATACACTTGTGAGCGAGGAATTGTTATACAACAAGTGGTGGAAGTTGATATAGCCTATACGGAGTGTCGGTATCTGATGCAAAGCAGTGGATGATAGACAATATTTAAGTAGGTGAGGTGCATAGTGCGCCCTTCTTGGATATGATGAGAGACTTGTATCGAGCTAGCTTAAAAAATGTTATCAATACGATACTGATGAAATTCACAAGTCACACAACCACGTGGTAGTATAAGACAGTGATTCTAAGCATATATTCGAGAAACTTATCCGTATAACTGTAGCCAGCACTTTAATATTGAATGATTAATAATGTTAACACGATACGTACACTAAGAGGCTACTCAATGACCCGTGGAGGTTGGGTATATAAGTGGAATTCAACAACCACTCGAAAGAAAAGGGGCACGATGGGCATGCCCTTTCACGTGAGGATCAACGAATTAGAAAAAACTTCGGTTGGTAGTATTCTGTCGAGTAGCTTAGTATTTCCTCTGACTACTAGTTATACAAATCTCATCATACGCAAGCGTGTGCAATTGCCAATCGTGACACCACGTATACTGCACTCAAAGCATTCGTCTCGCATTCAAATGTGTGAAGTTAGTTTATCAGCAGCATTAAACAACATATCGAGTACCACACTAACATGTATCCATCCACATACCTTGTAGTCATGATTCAACGTATTCATATATGACTCTTACGATACTAGATTATTCGTTGAGCATGCTTCGGTGCTTGTTGGACTGGGAAAATGCACCAAATTCTTTCTCACAACCTCTTAGATATGTGGATGGATGCCTACGTGTATGTATACTTAGATTGGCTTTTAATGCTGAGATTGATCACACTATTTGTGCATCGATGCACAGGCGTAGTAAAGTCATAAACACTGGTTGCGTGAGGGTTGTAGTATGTATATCAAGTGACAACTATGTATCACACGACATCACTTTTAGAGATACGTAGCGGGGTAAAACACCCGATATTGTATTTATTTATTTTACCGATTTCGTCGAATGATCGACCGCCATTTTTAGTATTGCAATGTGTACCTACTAGGGTTTTTGGCCCACAGGGTTTTCAATTAAGAACGCACATAGCCTCCCAAAATAATTAAAGACCGAGGCCTGGAAAGCAATTGAAAATATCCCTGAACAGAGAAACAGATTATAGTCCACACAAAGCCCATGATGGGGTACCATAATCGCTAATACGATACATGTATGTACGCATCGGTTCACTTCAGAATTCAAGGCTATCGACATGATCATTGGAATCAACTTCCATATTTACAACCGACTACGGTGTGCTAGATGAGGTCATACAGAAACCTGACTAATCGCAGGACAATGTGAAGTCGACAAAGAGTAGATACCACTAAATGAGGATGGCACACGAAATATATCTACCCTCATCGGTGCGAATGACAGCACTGATTCTCCTCCAATAGTCTACGCTGCCTCTTTATGTATTGTCGATTTGGGAGTGATTTGTACGCTATATGATACAAGCTACCCTGCCCCAGGCCCCTAGAAGTGCATACAGATTATCTCAAATTCTGTGGCACGGCAAAGCAACTACAGCTTCACCTTTTCACACATCATATACCCGGGTTTCACATCGGCTGTATTTCAGTCCCGTTTACACAATTGGTACACACTGGTATACATGTAATTACAACCTATATGTAGAATAAAGTGGTGTGTACGCTATTACCACTCGAAATTCTAGACCTTCACAATGCTTTACTACATATGTCGTAGCGATTTATTTGGACTACGAATATTGATTTGACACTCGTGGGTGCAAGGCCAGTCGATATCCGTCTACGTGAAAACAACAGTTTTGCACTCGAATATTGCTATAAACTCCTAACATTCTAAATCTCACAAGCAACTACTACCATTCGATTTATTACACTATATATTTGATGTGCGTATCTTCATTTCTCCTTCACACTTGCTTCCACCTCTTCCCTAAGAGCGTCCAATTGGCCCAATTGCTCGTCGTTGAGCGAGTTCAATTCTTGCGTAGTCAGTTTCCTGCCGATCTGTTGCTGTTCCAACATGGAAGCGTACTCCTGTGCACAGCCACGTACAATAGCAAGCGATATATTAGTAACCCGAAATCATATATTGTGTGTATAAATATACATATATATATACGTGTTCGTATAAATAGACATATACAAGTCGTGTATATATATTTATCTACATATATAATATATACCTATGCACAGGTATAGAAGATTAGTAACAGCACAAATAATTAACAGAAATGGTGTTAATAAAACAAACTGGGAAGAAGAAGAATGATGAAATTGATACATAGTCACCACATGGAAATGCATAATTAACAAACACCACAGAAACGCAACACCCACTATACAAATGTATGTATCTACATTTCTGGAAATGAGAGTTGCGCGTTTTTAGAAAATGGTGACCATAACAACACTGGAATCAGTTCGCAAGTAAGAAGCAGCAAACACGGGTAAAAATGATTTAGACACGACGCAAAAATTAGTTCTAAACACGACACGTTCAGTTACAAGCCTAACTGTTCCAAAGTAAACATCGCGAATACAAGAATATATATTCATGAGTTAAATGTGACGGTCTCATTGTATTTGAGTGCACACATTTTCCAATGCTTGAGTACACACATCTTCCAATTTAGCGAACAGTCTACAGTCAACACAGCCTTCTCCATTCGCACAATACCCACCTCCCAACCCTTTGTGAACTTGGCGACGAATGAGGCATCGGCGTTTTTATGTTTCTTGAACTCGTCTCGTGCGTAGCCATCACCCATCTCTCGCATGGCCACAGGGAGCGTACGGTTGGCAGTCATCACGCGCCTATAAAAGTGTTGGTGCCCGTATGACAATGTGTATGGCTTCGACAATATCATATTACTTCGGTTTAAACACGACAACTCTAACCGCACAACAGCAGCAGGATACCCGCTGTCTTACTACCGACATTATTACCTGGCCAGAAAAGAATTACAGTACGTGGACTTACCGTTCGCAGAAAATTCACATATGTGCATGGAACTTAACGATATGGCAACTCAAATACAGCGGGTAGGACTGAAACGACGAGGAACCTAAAATCGAGTTTTTATAAAAGTGGGTGCTAACGTAAAGCTATAAAACGGGGTTTAAACGAATACCAATTCTCTTAACTAATAGCGTGATGAATGGCTACCTCAAATCAACGTATGAACAGAGTATGGTTCGCGGCTACAAAGTAATAGTCCGTTTTCCATATCTATCACGACTTTGAAAAGATAGCCATTATCAGTCTGCAATACATTATATATATATATATATATATATATATATATATATATATATATATATATCGTATATATATATATATATATAATATATATTTAAATATATACATATATATATATTTATATATATATACATATATATATATATTCAAATTTAAATATATATAAATATATATATGTGTGTGTATGTGTGTGTGTGTGTGTATATATATATATACATTCAAATGTATATATTCATATCTATTACTATATATGTATTTTTATATATACATATATATATATATATCTATATAAACCAACAATCTTACATTAACGCTGATGTGTTTGACGCAACATGTTGAGCATCATATAAAAACACAAGGACCGAAAACCCTTTCGGCGATTCCTCCGGACTGGTGCGTATAATAAAGAATTGCGAGTATATCGTAAGCATATCAAAAAAACTACAAATAGGCCTTACTTATACGTATAACATTCACATACGCCTTCGAAACACTCCTGTATGATTAGAAACCTGAAATTAGAGACACCTACTGTGCAATACACTCATATGCAACTGGCTCACCCAAATTGTCTCTGTGTAGATCAATCACGCATGCCCAATTCTAAGAAGCTCGTGAATCTCAAACACACCTGTACAATCGCAAGGCCGACTGTGCAGCAGGCGTACTCATTCTGATAGAAGTATACGAGTGACTATTTCAAACAAAAGGTCTGAAGGGCGTAACGAGTGATTTTCAATATAACTCGAGCAGATAGGCGGATGGTGATTGCTGCGAAGATCCTGGGTTGCAGAGATGTGTGTGCTATAATTGTAATACTATCTTTTGAGCATCTCCTATATTACCCATTTTAGATTGTCACAGGTACTGATGAGGAGGCACATGAAACTAATCTCCCAGCCCGCTCAGGGCGCATCATACGACACACACACAAGAGTAGAGGCCATGAATGTCATCAGAAATCTGACAAATCCTCACGGTACCGAACTGTTGTTAGTTCCACGCAATTCCAATGAAACAAATAATTAAATACATTATTTACTTTACGTGTTGCCAAAGTCTTAGTCAGCAGTGCTAGTTCACCACCTCACAAGTACATAGTGCCAGCAGATGGATAGCTGACAGTGTAGACGATTGAACAGGAACAATCTGTTTGGTTATACTACATACTCAACATACACACATAAAACACAGTCGCAAGCACGTGGTTTATAGCTCACATAGTGCTATATTTATCATATACGCAGATTCAGATATACATACGCGTGCGTGCTTATTAGAGGATGTCGTTCGCTATGTCGCTATCCATGCGCAGGTGTGTCGTAGGGTCACACTCGATCTCACAACTGGCCGTCAGAGGTAAAATGGGAAAGAAAGGTGCCAAGAAAGGAGGCAAAACAGCCGAACAGAATGTCAGTGAATACGAGAAGCGCAGGGACATGATGGCCGGACTTATGGATTACATAGAACCCAAGCCACGGGAGGCCAGCAAACTCACTGCAGAGGTATGATAGGTGGGATAGGCGTATATAGGTATGCTTTCTTGGTTTTATATGAATCTGCATCTTTCGTTGAGTTATCAAAATACATTCACCCATCGGTTGTCCTTTCCAACTGCATTATCAGACCATGCAGTATTTATGTATCGAAAGAATATATATATATATATATTTATATATATATATGTATATGTATGTATATATATATTTATGTATATATATGTATACATGTATATATATATATATATATATATATATATATACTATATATATACTAATAGTATATATACGTATACTAACTACTACTACCACAACACAACTATATATATATATATTA